CATGTAGGCTTCCATTGGCTTGTTCTCCCTTTTGCTCATGGATTGCACTGCACCATCAAGCTCCTGCAAAAATAGCTTGGTGTCCAACCAAAGCGCGTTCCAAAACTCATCTTCCCCTTGATTCAGCACCGTTGCCACCGCTTCACCCACAACTGGTCGAGAAAATCTCCTTTTTCTGCATGCCAGTTCGAAAAGCGCGTTGTGGTACTGTTTTCGGGAAAAAGTGGTTAACTTCCCCAAGCCTGTGCTTTCTGTACCATCAGGCTTCCAACCATCATTTTGCAAGATGCCATACGCGCGCCGAGCTTCCGCATTGAGGAATGCCTGATCCGCAACACACTCCTGTAAATCTTCCATCGGCCGACCTAACAGCATCCCAGTAATTTTGCCAACATAGGCTTCCTCTTCATTTCCATTCTCCAGAAGAGCTTTGTAGATCTTTTCTCCATAAAGTTGCCTTTCTTTTCGTTCTTCAGAAGACAACTCCTGTACCACAAGCTCTTCATCGGATTGCTCTTCCTCCTGTTTCCAGTCCCATTGACCGTTGGAATCTTGGTACCATTGACCAGCATACCATGAATCCGTCCACCACGTACTCCAGCCGCTGGGTTTCCACTTCCGCAGCGTCGAAGAAGAGTCCTCCACGTCCTCTTCCAAAACCAGAAAGGTGTCCAAGATTATGGTACCATCATCTTCCACTCGTTTCACTGTTCCATTGACAGTATCACCAAACTTGAACTGATATGCATTGTTCCCTTCTGCAGGAATCAATACATTCATATCCCCATGGTCCAAAAAGGCTCCATACCCATTGATGCAGCGCACTAGACCCATGATCTCATCTCCCTCTTGATAGCAATGTGGCCCAGGTGACTCCAAGGCTCCCGCTCGGGGCACTTTCTTTACACGCTCTTCAGAAACCATCTCTGTATCATCGGCTCCTGGCGCATCCTTTGTCTTCACCTTTGGGTCACACTGCTCGTCCTGCTCCACGAGTCCCACAAGCTCATCTTTTTTGTGCTCCTGGATTTCAGGACCTCCCTTTTTCTCCGCCAACGGCTTTGCCTCATCTGCTGTAGTTCGCTCGGTGTCGACTTCCGGTGAACTTCCAGACGGCAACGCTTCTCCCTTCATGGGAGTGGACCCATCATTGGAGTCCTTTGTCTCACCTTCTGCAGCAGGCAAATCTTCTTCCACTGCAGGGCAATTGAGTCGATCATCCACGGCAGGCACGCTTTCTTCCACCGCAGGCTCCTTTGGTTCCATGGCCTCCAAAGGAGAATTTCCACCATCATTGACCACAGCTGCCTCATTGGCTCCGGTGTAGCCCTTGTCATTTCGTTCCTCGCTGCTAACTTCAGGTTGCACCAGTGCGTCCACCTGTGAACCTCCATCATCAGCTGCTGCGGAGACCTGCGCCCCATTGTTGCAGTCGCCCGTGGAACGTACCACCACATGCACCTCAACCCGTGCTTCCTTCGCACTCCAGGTAATATCTGGCGCATCAACCCGCGCATCATTGGCGCTCCAGGCCTCATTTTTCAGATCATCCGTGTCTCCAGCTATTCCAGAAGCTTCTTTTTCCCCTTGAATGGCAGAATTCTTGGCACCAAACGAAGAGACCTCCTCAGTCGTAACACACAACTTTTTCTCTCCATCCTCCGAATCTCCAGGACCACCTTCCTGAACAACAGGTACCACATCCACCACTCGCTCTTCTGCAGCCGACACAGTTCCGATCACCTCATTGGGCATTTTCTCTTCTGGATCCACCAATTCCATCGCTGCCCCACCCTCAGAAAGCGCTTCTGTCTCTTCCCGATCCAGGTGTTGAGCCCCAGCGATGTTGGCTTGGTTCCCAGGAATCCCTTCCTCATCAGGAGAACCCGAGGTCGGGGCGTCACCATCAGCCCTAGGACCGCTATCCCTGATAGTACAGGAAAAATCTTTTTCACCTAAACTATTTACACTACCCTGGAATGCCCTCGTAGACTCAGTCTTCGGAGTAGAGGATGAAGAATCCAGTGCCGCCTCCATTTCCAGCTCATTGCCCAAAGGAGACCCAACCACCTCGTCACTCTTCACCTTTTCACCTACCACCGGCAATGTCCACTTGGTTTCGTGCGTATCCAGGCAGTAATAATATTGTCTCCCATCTTCATGGAGGTGCAATTCCCACATTGTGCCATCACACGCTTGGATCAGATGCTCGTCTTTCCGAAAACCGTCCCTTTCAGAAACCTGTCGCATCTCGTCCTCTTCTTCTGACAGCTGTCGCAACCGTTCAGCCTCCATCTGTAGGATCTCCTCCTCCCCCATGGCGTATTCAGCAGCAGGTGCAGCTTCAAAGCCGTCCGCACCCTTCTGTTTGTGACCGCTTCCACCACCTTGGGAACTCGAAGATGGACCCTTTTTGATCTTGTTCAACGGCCTCCTGGTCGCTTGTAGCACTTCTCCAATCAGATCGGTCTGAGACTCTTGGTCTACCATTCGACCCGAAGTCGAAGACGACGGCTGGTACCCGTGTTTGTGTAACACTCGTAAAACAGTCACCTCCATTTCACGATCTATGCCACCAGTCGCATCCCAGTTCCTTTTTTCACCAGGCTTTGGCGGTACAGAAACAGCACGTCCTTCAGCTTCAGCATTGCTAACCATATCCCTATTGGGATTCATACCCACATTGGGGCTTTCTGCAACCAAGGCCTCTTCCAGATGTTCTTCAGCGTCGGGAATCACCTCTTCCAACACCGCTCTTTCACCCAGAGACTCAGCTGCACCATTTCCAGCTCCACCATCTTGTCCACCATCCGAGGCAAGTTGGAGCCATCGCTTCGGAGAAGGCATTGCTTCTTGATCCCAAAACCTTGAAAGAACACTTAACCGCAGGGAACCTAATTTGGGCTCATAACCTACGGGGGGACAACCAAGGAAGGAAATCAACTCCCCTAATCGCCCTGAACTTATATTTCCCAGATCGAACCAAGAAACAACCAAGAACACGGATAAGAGCAACCCAGGGGGGAAGGAAAGGGGGAAGGAACCCACACCCTTACCAAACCCTAAGAACCCAGGCACTTCTTTTTGAACTTGTGGCTTTCTGTTCAAGCCCATCTTGAGCCAAACATGATTTCCGGGTTCATTAACCCTTCCAACTCTCAACACTAACTCTTTTCTACAATACCAATTGCAGCTCCGCATAGGGTTTAGTTTAGGGTTTAGGGTTTAGGGTTTAGGGTTTAGGGTTTAGGGAAACCCTATTCCAATCATTCGGATTAGGGCCCCAGCCGATTGCCTTGCCACCGCTGCGAGTCTTCTGCACTGATGCACCAGAACTCGAAGGTCGGGCGCCTCTTATCCCAGATGAAAAACATGGGGAGTTTCCGAAAATTAGGGGTGCCCTTTTTTTTTGGGTCCTTATAATAAGGATCCTACTATTTCGGGTATTATATTAGGGTCCGCTATTTTCGGAAACTCCCACATAGTAACAAGGGTCGAGATGTATTGGGTATTATTTCAGAGGATCCTTCATTGTGATGCTAGAAATGTACCACGAAGCTCTATTGCTTCCGCTAGGCCCCACCCGTTTCAATCAGGAAGCCTAAACAGCTGGACGAAGAAGTTGATCAAGGTGTAAACCCGTTGTACCAGATCTGCCTCATGCGAGGGCCTCCATAATTAGAATAAGGCGCTGAGGTCTATTATATTAGATGGTGAACACCTGTACCGGTGGCTGGGGCTCCGATTTGCCTCTTTGTCGCGGTCTGGCTTGCAAAGGCGACTGGCAAACGTATTCGAGAGAGGCGCTTTGCCTCCGTTCGGGCTTTTATTCATAGCTGGGAATTCTCTGGAATGCCTGCAAGTCTCGGTTCCAAACCCTAACCCTTGTACAGTAGTAAACCCCAAAAAGGTGAAAACCGGATTAGGGACAACTAGTGCTGAGATTCCCCATGTATTACTGTTTGAGGCTACTGGGCTTCCAACTTTTGTGCTTCTGCTGTAAGCCCTTAAACCCTACCTGGACCCTGAAGAACCTACTTTGTAAGGACTTATATAAGGAAAACCCTAATAAGCAGCCCTAAACGGTAGGTTCTTCAGGGACCAGGTAACCCTTAAACCTTGAATCCTAAACCTAAAAAGAATATACGGTTTTGGAGTACAATTATACTATAGCCTTCCCCAAAGCATAATAGTAATTCCTATTATGGAAACCCTACATTCTACCATATAGGCACTTTGGACCCTTAGGGAAACCCTTTCTTAGGGAATTCGAAGCTTCGCCAGGGCGGAACTGGAGAAGGCGCTTCAACTTTGGCAGGGCTCGAGCTTTAGAGCTTTAGCCGCCCTTACCCTAACCTGGACCCCAAAAGTATGTGATGCTCTGGGGAATGGCACGGACTGGCAGCATGTACGGAATCATCGTGCGGGCATGGATGCTCTGGGGAATCGCACGGACTGGCAACATGTAGGGAATCATCGTGCGGGCATGGATGCTCTGGGGAATCGCACGGACTGGCAACATGTACGGAATCATCGTGCAGGCATGGATGCTCTGGGGAATCGCACGGACTGGCAACATGTACGGAATCATCGTGCGGGCATGGATGCTCTGGGGAATCGCACGGACTGCAACATGTACGGAATCATCGTGTGGGCATGGGCGTGTGGTTTTGCAGGACATCCCAGTAAACGTTCACCCCCCAAGCCGTAAAAGTCAGGAAAACCAGGTACGCTTACTCCGCCGTATGCTATAATCAGGATAATCCTAGTTTGGGGTATATTCAGGGTACCTCTTTTGGGGGAAATGCCCATTTCCTCATCTTGACTGATTTGGAGACATGTGCAAGAAGAGCCCATGCTCGCTAGGGGTATGCTATGTGGCGACACGGCAGCACAGGTCAATGCAAGCGCCCACCATCGCGCACTCCAAAGACATAGCCTTCGGGCAAAGTAATTAGGAAGACCCAAACATTGGGAAGAATCGTCTTGACGGTGCGTACATGCGGTACATGGCTTCATCTGCCGGCAGCATTTTGCTCAAAGCTCAGTCGTGCTCTCTCTTTTTAGGGATGAAAGGCTGCTTGGCGATCTTGACTGGTGTGGCTGTGTGTGCGGCTGCAACCAAATACGAAGCTGAGGATGCACTGCTCCAGGGGAGTGCTGTGGTGACCTCCTGCGCAGCCGCATCCGGTGGACAGCAAGTCAAGGATCTGGGCACAGATGGCTCCGCCAGCGGATCTGTGACTTTCATGGTCACGGTGGCGACAGCTGGCTACTACCGAGTGCTGGTGAGGTACATGTCGGCAGTGGACCGGTCCTCTGAGATTGCAGTGAATGGTGGTGCGCCGGCGATGTATAGCTTTGCCGTTTCTGGAATTTGGTGCTATGCCGGCGGGGTCACTGCAAGCAAGACAGTGGAACTGCTGTTAGCTGCCGGCACCAACAGCATCAAGCTGAGCAACCCCTCGAACTGGGCGCCACTAGTTGACTTCATCCAGGTCCCAACGACCCCTGCCGCCTTGCTCACCACGACGACAACCACCAGGCCGCAAGCATCTTACGAGGCAGAAGATGGCAGCTTAGCGGGCGCAGCCGTGGCGGTGAGTTGCAGCACAGCATCCGGTGGCCAGATGGTAAATGGCCTGCAGCATGGCTCTGCGAACTCGTTGCTGCTTACGGTCTCTGCTGCCAGCTCCGGCATCCATTACATGACCGTGCACTATTTCAGCAAGACTGAGCGGAATCTGGTGGTCGCTGTGGACGGACGTGCCAGGACGATCAAGATGCCCCCAAGTGGCAATTGGTGCTTTGAGGGTGGTGTCCCAAGCCAGTACTCCATCAATGTCAAGCTCGCCGCAGGCCTCAACAAGATCAAGTTTGAAGCGCTCCCTGCAGAGAAGGCGCCGATTATAGATGGCATCCTGCTGGAAATGAAAAACCCCAAGAAGGGCCTCATTGTCGGTAAGGACGTCAGCTTAGAGGATGCTTCCCACTTCGGGGAGTACGTCTCCTGGTACTATCGCTATGATCCCACGGAGCCAAACGAGATGCGTGACTGGGCCGCGCAGAACAACATCGAGTATGTGCCCATGATTGGTTACGGTGGGATGACCTTGCTGAATGGCACGAGGTGTACTTTGCTTGCCCGTGCCGTGGGTCCGGCTAGAAATGTCTGCAGCTATCAGGACGTTCTGAACACTGTGGCTTCGAACGACATGAGCCGCGTAAAGTACATCTTTGGCACCAACGAGCCTTGGAATCCCAATGATGCCAACATCACAGTTCCGGAGGGTGTGCACATTTGGACGACCTACACACAGCCAGTGGCGCAACAGCTTGGGTTGATGCTTTTGTCGCCGAACGTGGGCCGGAGCACCAGACAGTTGGATTGGATTGAAAAGTTTCTGAAGCTTTGCTTTGACACTGTGGGCTGCGATGTGGACCTGATCCGAGGGGTCATGGTGCACGAGTACAAATGCAAGGAGAGCTACTGGATCAGCAACTACGATGGCAACGGCTTCTTCTTCAAAGACTTGGGAAGCCGTATGGGCCGCTATGGAGGAAAGGATTGGGCATCTTGGCTTGAAGCGCAGGAGGTCTGGGTCACCGAGACGAACTGCTTTTGGGAGACCACGCAGCCGCACCCGAGCAACGTTCAGCAGTGCAAGGCAGTGACCAACCAGCGCACGTCCAGCCATGGAATCGGGTCGCTGCAGTGGATGGAGAAGAGCAGCAGAATCAATCGCTACGCCTGGTGGACCACCGTGAACAAGAACCCTTCCAAGACCCAGCTCCTGGTGGACTACGCAACAAAAGAGTTGAACCCGACTGGCTTTGCATACATGAACCCTGTGTCCGCCACTTCTTGCTGAGCAAGGTTTTGGCAGTTTCGGCACTGCACTGCATCTTTGTACAGGCTGAGGAAATGCAAAAGGCGTCCGACATTGGCTTTAAATAAGCTCGGCTGGTGTGCCCCACTTGCGGATGCCTCGCTGAGGCCTTAGCTCCACGATGCAAGGAGCGCTGTGGCAGAGTCGCAAAAGCTGCAGAGAAAAACATCGGAACGAGCAGTGTTTTGATTGGTTTGCTGATGCTGGCCGTGGCGGTGATGTCTGTTGATGTTGGCGGTGTGCCTGGCCATGCGATTGCGGCCAGTGCGTTTGCGGACACGCATGACTATGGTACCCTGTCATCCCGGGGGCCTCAGCAATCTTAACGCCTTGGTCTTCAAGCACCAGCAAGAAGCAAACTGCAGTTTCAGGATTAATGTGTTGTAGAAATTGGGCAATTTTAAATTAAAAGCTCTCATTGGCCCTCATGTTTTCCTCGCTCCTCAGCAACGTGGCTCCTTAGTGATCAGACCCCGGGGGCGCTCACCTTGTGCCTGCGCTGCATGGCCCAGGAGGCAATCTTTGGGTTGAGGGATCCATGGTTTAGGGTTTAGGGTTTAGGGTCTAGGGCCTAGGATGAGGCTGCCTTCGGCGTGGTGGCATAGGTGTGATAGGACTTGAGTGGGAGGTCCTAGGAGTTATTCCTTTTTGCCTTGCGCGCAGGTGGAATCTGCCAATGAAGCTCTTGAAGATGTAGCAGAGCTGCGAGGATCGTCCGATGCTCGGTTCTTGAGTCGACGACATGGGCTTTGACCCCCAAACCCTCAGCTTCGAATCTCCCCTAAGACCTCAGCCCTAAAACCCTAAACCCTAAAACGCTACACCCTAAAACCCTAAACCCTAAACCCTATAAACCCTATAAACCCTAACAGCCTAACACCCTAACACCCTAAACCCTAAACCCTAAACCCTAAACCCTAGACCCTAGACCCTAAACCCGCCCGCCACCCCACTCTCTTGTCTTTTGGGGTAGGCGGGCGCTGGTCGAGCGCTCAGTGAGACCCTGCGAGGGAGCCCCAGGCGGGCGACTGAGCTGGCCTCAAGGCTGGCTTACCCTCCAGGCAGGCACAGGCCGAGTCAGCAGTTGTCACTGTATTATATTATATTACCCTAAACCCCAAGCTGTCCGCGCACATGGTAGCGTCCTGCATTGGGGGCCCCCCTGGGACGGCCCCTTGTCCTGGTCCCTCACCCCCGTCCGTGCGGCTGAGGGGACCAGGGGCCGTTTTGTTGGCAGGCAGGCCAAAAATGCCCTTTTCCTGGCTGGCCCTGGCCCGGCCCTGGCCCTGGCCCTGGCCCTGGCCCTGGCCCTGGCCCTGGCCCTGGCCCTGGCCCTGGCCCTGGCCCTGGCCCTGGCCCTGGCCCTGGCCCCCTGGCCCTGGCCCTGTCCTGGGTCTGGCCCCCTGGCCCTGGCCCTGGCCCTGGCCCTGGCCCTGGCCCTGGCCCGTTCCCAGCCCTGGCCCTGGCCCTGGCGCTGGGTCTGCTGACCCTGACCCTGGCCCTGGCGCTGGCCCTCACTGACCCTGGCCCTGGCCCTGGCCCCTGGGTCTGGCTTGGCCCGCCCTGACCCTGAATCCCTGGTTCTGGCCCCTGGCCCTGGCCCTGGCCCTGGCCCGACCCTGGCCCTGGCGCTGGCTTTGGCCCCTGGCTCTGGCTTGACCCTGACCCTGGCCCTGACCCTTGGAGGGGCCTGGCCCTGGCCCTGGCCTCTGGCCTGCGCAAAGCCAAGCTGTCCGCGCACCAGTTTGTGTCCTGTTTCGGGGCGCTCTCCCTCTCTGGCTTTCGCCCAAGTCCTGCCGTTTGCTGCAACTTTGTGCCTGGTCCTGACCCTGGCCCGGCACCCCACCTTACCCCCTTCGCGCCAAGCCAAGCTATCCGCCACACCAGCCCTGTTTCCGTGGCGCTCTGCCCAACCCAAGCTGTTCACTGTGTGTTCTTCCTGGCTGGAGCCCCTTCGCGCCAACCAAGCCTCGCTGCCTTTCTCTGTTCCTGGCCCGTCCCTTAGCCCTTCACGGACCCTGCCTCGTTTCCGTCTGCTGCAGCTTTGCGCCTGGTCCACGCACCTTGTGGAAATCCCCAAAAAGGGCGTGAGTGCTGACTCATGTGATGCTTTGTAAAAAAATAAAAAGTCTTAACTCCTTGAGAGTTGTAAGTGGGCGGTCTTGGGGTGGGTAGGTCTGCAGACTACCGCGCGCTCCCAAAGCGCGCTCCCGTTTGGCACGCCCTAAACCCTAAACCCTATAGACCCTACCTAAGCCGTGGTTGGCGCCAAGGCACCGCCTCCCGCGCCACCTGCGGCTCTACCAGCCGCTGCCGCTCCCAGGCCTAGTCCTCTGAGGGTTTAGGGTTTAGGGTTTAGGGTTTAGGGTTTAGGGTTTGGGGTTTAGGGTTTGGGGGTTTGGGGTTTGGGGGTTTGGGGTTTGGGGGTTTAGGAGGGGGGTTTAGGGTTCAGGATTTTTAGGATTTTGGGGGGTTTTTGGGGTTTAGGGGTTTGGGGGTTGAGAAGGGGGGGTTAGGGTTTGGGGCTTAGGGGTTTAGGCTTTAGGGGTTTGGGGGTTTAGGAGGGTTTGGGTGTTTCAGGTTCTCTAGGGGTTTTGGGGTGAGGGGGGTTTAGGACTCTAGGGTTGGGGGGCCAGGGGGTCCAGGGGTCTTGCCTGTTGCACGACCCAAGCCCGAAACCCCAAACTCCCGGAAGCAGCCTTTCAAACCCCAAACCGACATTCCCCCCCTCCCCCCCCGCTCCTAAACCCCAAACCCTAAACCCCTAGACCCCTAAACCCCTAGACCCCTAAACCCTGAACCCCTGAACCCCTGAACTCCTGAACCCCTGAACCCCTGAACCCCTAAACCCTAAACCGTAACCCACGCGTTAGGCCCAGTGGTTTTTGAGCAGTTTGAGCCCGCGGATGACGTCGGGTCCAGCATCGGTGCCGCGTCCGCCGGAGACCTAGTGGCCAGCAATCCTGAAGGGTGTTGCAGCTGAACCCCAACCCAAGATGCCCCCAACTCTAAACCCTAAACCCTAAACCCTAAACCCTAAACCCTAAACCCTTAACCCTTAACCCTGAACCCTTAACCCTGAACCCTGAAACCCTAAACCCAAACCCTAA